GTATATTTGCTTAATATAATACTTCTAATATTTATATGCCAATTAGTATTTCTATTTTGCATTTCTATGTGTTTCTTTTGCATTAACTCTTCTAAATAATAGTTATACAAATGAACATCATAAAGGAAATTCAATTCAAATTCTGAATTTTTGGCAATTTTCGAAAATCTGGGGTGCTGCTATATAAGCAAATACTTCAAATTCGAAATTATTTTGCTGCTTCTTAGCATCTCAATCAATTTAAATCATAGGCAAATGCGAAGATCTATATACATATAGTACTAAAAAAAAAAGCAGATTAGGATTTCTAAAAAACTTGATTTCTGAGTGACCGCATTTTCGAAAAATCTAAATTTACTTGACATGAGAAACAATCTTATATAGAATATTTATTTAAAAACACTTCGTATTCAACTATGCGAGGAGTTTTCAAACTTGGTTCGACTAGCGTCCATTTTGAGAATTTTTATGCATATTATGTATAGATGAAATTATACTTTGCCTTCATATATTTACATTATAGGCATAAAAGTTATTAAAAAAATATATATATATATTATACTAAAATAAAATAAAACTACTAGTCCATATAAAATAAAAAGAAATAAAAACAATTTTGAATTGTGAGAAAAGAAGAAAAGAAGTTCACATTCGTGTGCGAACTCCGGTGTGCTCAATTTGCGAGAGCCCACTGTATAAAAAAAGAAAGACGAAATTAGCTGACCTATATTAAAAGTCAATAATTATTGACTTTCTTTTGATTCTATTGAGCTTTAATGTTTAGAACTGAAATGATAAGAATTCTTCAAAGAAAAATGTTGTTCATCAACTAAACATTTTAAATATGTTAAATAAATTCAATTTAAATTTGAATTCAAACAAATATATATCCTCCTAGGACCTGTTCGGTACAAAATCCACCAAGATTTGGTGTTACCTTAATGAAATACTTTTCCACTTCGTTGTGATCGTTTCGTCCCAGTTCCTAGTCCCGGTCGGATCTGTGGACCCATTTCGAACTGAACTTTGGAGCTGGTCAATTTTGGGTTTCGATCCCAAAATCTCTTAAAAATGGGGCAATCATTTTCGCCTTGTCCTATCCTGCTGGAGAATAAATTCTTTTCCGCTCAATCTGTCTTAAAATCGTTCAACCCCTTTTTATACCCTGCACCCATTCAAAATGGGTATAAGGGTATATTGTATTTGTGCAAAATCCAAATCCGATCCCATAAAGCATAAAGCATATATATTCTTGATCAGCATCAATAGCCGAGTCGATCTAGCCATGTCCGTCTGTCTGTCCGTTTGTCCGTATGAGCTAGAGACTTGAAATTTTAGATGGAGATGCTCCTAGTGCCCGCGCAGATGGAGTTTGTTTCCGATAATCGATAACTTGCTCCGTTTCCAACAATCGATAAAAATCGCTATCGATATCCTGTTTTTTGGGCAATTTTCGTAAATAATAAGAGCTAAAGTCACCAAACTTGACATATAGCTTCTAAAATAGAATATATATATATGCATTTGATGTTGGAAGAAGAGTGTTCAGGGTATCCCCTAGTCGGGAGCTCCCGACTAGAACCTCTTACTTGTTGGATATTGCTTCTGGTTCATTGAACCGCCGTCAAAGGGAATCAAGTCAAGTCGTCCCGCACCATTATAAGAAACAGATACCGCCAGATCTCGCCCATAACGAAAATCTTTGTTTAATCGTAGAAAAACTTTGTTTTTGTGACAAGTCGAATTCAAAACTACACTCATCCGTCCACAGGACGGAAATCCTTCGATTTTTGCCTGTTTCCAATGCGTCTATATTTATTGATTTTGATAAGAAATAGTTGAATGTGACAAAAAATAATATTCCTTAGCTAATTTTATTACCGAAAATATCCAAGTTTCATTTTGTCACAATTATTTAGCTCTGATATTTTAACAATTTTTAAAATTAACATCAAGGGCTTATCAAATATTAGGCAAGATTTTACAGGAACTTCGTTAAATTAAAGTGAAACAAGTAAGAGGTTCTAGTCGGGAGCTCCCTTCTCTTCTTTCAACATCAAATGCATATATATATATTCTATTTTAGAAGCTATATGTCAAGTTTGGTGACTTCAGCTCTTATTATTTGCCAAAATTGCCCAAAAAACAGAATATCGATAGCGATTTTTATCGATTGCTTGGAAACGGAGCAAGTTATCGATTATCGGAAACAAACTGGATCTGCGCGGGAGCTAGGAGCATCTACATCTAAAATTTCAAGTCTCTAGCTCATACGGACAGACGGACGGACAGACGGACATGGCTAGATCGACTCGGCTATTGATGCTGATCAAGAATATATATACTTTATGGGGTCGCAGAAGCTTTCTTCTGCCTGTTACATACATTTGGATTTTGCACAAATACAATATACCCTTATACCCATTTTTAATGGATGCAGGGTATAAAAAAAAAAAAAACAAAGAAATTACACAATGTCAAAATACTTATAACAATATGCTTATCAGCAGAAAGCAATGATAATATAGATTACTTGGCAAAAGAGACTAAGAGTTAAACACTATAACTAGTGTAGTTAATTGTTTGAATACGCAAGTAAAAGGAAAAGTTAATAGACATCAAAATGAATATAGAACAGAATATTGAAATTCCAAATATAATTATAATCTAAGTTATTTATAGATGTTTTTTGTATATGAAATTCTTATGCAATCCATAATTGCGCAAATTGACTAATTTTCGCTTATTCTCTCTCTCTCTCTCTCACTCTCTTTGCAGGTAAGACATCTAACCGAACCTGGGCATAAAAGAAACTCGAAATGTATTCAAAGAAGGAGCTCGCAAATTCGCAACTGTTTGACAGTGTGTGGGGCTGCGGGGTGCGGGTTGTTGCGACGGGGGCTTTGGGGGGTTGCGCGAGGTTCCGTTCTTTATGTGTGTATATGCACATATATATGTGTGCGTGTGTGTGTGTGTGTGTGTGTATTGCTGTAGGTCGATATGATTGATGAGAAATGGCAGGCAGCAGGCAACAGCAGCAGGCGTCGGGGCAGCGACGTCGGCGTCGTCGTCGTTTGATTTTAAAGCTGAATGAGCCAGACAGCCGTCGCCGTCGCTGCCGCTGCCGCCGCCTGACAGGCAGCCCCAGGGGGGGGGGGGGGGGGGGGGCGGCAGCGCAGCTTTAAAGTGCTGTTTCGCATGCTTCATTCTTTAAAAATAGCTATGGCTGAAGTTTGGCAACGTTGCACACCTTTTGCATGCCATTGCCGTGCTGTGCTCGGCGTGGCTATGCATATATATATATATATATATATATATATATATATATATATATATATATATATATATATGTGTGTGTGTGTCATTATTATTTAATGAATTAATAAACGAGCTGTGTGCGGGTGTCTGTTTCTCATGCATACCCCCCTCGCCCAGCTGTCCGCTCAAACCGTTTCTCGATATGTGTGACGTCGTTATTGCCATCCCGCAGTCGGTCGCAACGGCCGTAGGTCAGACGCGTCTCACGTTAATCATATCTCAAACGTAGCGTCAAACGCGTTGCAGCGCTGTCGACGCGCTGTCGTTTAAAAATTTAAATAATGAAAGCCGACGCAGGGTGGATTATGGCATGGCAGCAGCCGACGTCGAGCGTTGTTTTGACGCTGTCTGACATGTTCGCTGCGCACATGTTGTCGTAACATGCTGCATGTTGCCGTTCGCTGTGCACATGTTGTACGACCAAGTCTAATCGCACTATGCTGCTGCTTTGTCGCACTCACTCACTCACTCACTCACTTACACAGGCACGCGCGCCACGAATACGAGCAGCACAGCAATACGCTTGCCATCTCGCTCATTTTTGTCGTTTCGTTCGCTTGTGCGCGCTCGCTCACATCCACATCCACATCCAACATCCGCACCCACACCGCGTGCAACATGTGTGAAGAGGTTGGCCGGCCGGCCGGGTTTGTGTCCTCAATAAAAAAAAAAAAAAAAACAAACGAAACATTAAGGCGCATCTCTAAATCAAAGCCCATTTCATTTTGTGCATCTTCTTGCAAATTGGGATCGCGCTGCACTCGCGCCCCAATTCGATTAGCTTTGATTAAGCTAAGCGATCGCATTGGGGTCAAGCCCGTTTACCCACTTGTCGCCGGCATCGCCAACTGGCCATAATACGCGCCTACTGTGAATACACCTAATGATAATTTTTGCATATAGCATGCAATAAAGATTCATCAATTGACTAAATCCAGCCAAATTGGGGCACAGCAATGTGTATATTTACATATGCAGATACATTATATATATATAGATATATATATGCATATTATTTAAATTATGCTGATTGTTCAGTTGTGCTAGTTTTTATGATGGTTAACGCGTAGCTCAGAGCTGACGATACTATCGAGTGAACTATCGATAGTTAAAGCAGATTTTTTTTTAGGTTTACAAAGGCGAAACTAACTATTTCAAATGAACTATTTGTTAAATCAATTTTTAATTTGTTTGATTGTTGTTGTTTTTATTATCTTTTAACTCGCTCTATCGATATATATCGGTAACTATCGAGTTGTTTTAAGGACTGAGTTCCTTAATGCTGCGGCAAATGCACTTTCATATTTGTATTTTACACATTTTCGTATTAGCTTTGGCAGCGAAGCGTTTCACTTTTGCGATCGATAACTGCACATCGATATTTATCGATTACGTGTGCATCAAGATGTGTGTTTTGTTGTGGCCAACATTTAGTTGGCTTGATGTTTCCTCTATTTGATTAAAAACCTATCGATAGAGTTTGATAAACAATCGCGTGCTTTACAAGTCAGGGCTGTTACGCATCGATATATATCGATCAATAGCTTGAATTGAGGATATTAAGGTGTTTTTTTTTTAGCAAGCTAGTTGGAAGATCAATATGGGTTGCAAGGGATGTAGTGATAGATCGTAACTAATAACTCTCTCATTCCTCTTGTTTCCCCTTCAGGCCATACCGTACCATGGATCAGCAGCAGTATGTCAAGAGTTTGGGGCACGCCCATCAGCAGCAGCAGCAGCAGCAACAGCAGCAGCAGCAGCAGCAGCAAATGCATCACCATCACCACCATCAGCAGCAGCAGCAGCAGCAGCAACAGCAGCAGCAGCAGCAGCAGCAGCAATCCTCGCGTTCGGCAGCTAGTCCGCTGTCGCCGCCACGTCCCGGACCGGGCAGCGCGGCGGCAGCTGCGGCTGCGAATAGCTATGCCAAGTTTGCGGATGCTCCGCAACACTTTATACAATCGCCGGCGTACAGCATTGGCATCGCGCCGGTGGCCAGCTATCGGGAGAACCATTATATGCGGATACCTCAGGCCTCGGTGCCGGAATTTCAGCGTGCCGGACGTGCAGCAACTGTGGCCTCCGGTGCCGTTGGCGGTGGCTGCAAGACCGGACCGGGGGGCGGCGCCTCATCTGTTGCCGGACCCGGTGCCGGCGGTGTTCTCCAAGTGGCCGGCAGCATGCCGCCGCCGGGCGCCCAGCCGGGCAGCGTGCTCGTCATGGAGGCCATGTCGCATTACCCAACGTTGCAGTACAACAACGAATACCTGACCAATGCCGCAGCTGTGGCAGCCGTCAATCAGCGACAGCAGCAGCAGCAGCAGCAAGTGCAGCAGCAGCAGCAAGTGCAGCAGCAGCATCATCAGGCGCTGTCTGAGCCGCTAGGCAGCATGGGTCAGCCCTACAAGAAGCAGCGCTTGAGTGAGCCCAATGCTAGCAGCATGAATCACCTGCCACACCAGCAACAGCAGCAGCAACAACAACAACAACAACAGCAGCAGCAGCAGCAGCGCTCGTCACCCGCTCAGCAGCACAACAGCCGGCAGAGCAACCATGGCGCCGTGTTGCACATGTCCGCTGCCGCGGCAGCTGCCTCAGGACTGACACCGCTGGCCATGCAACAGCTCAAGGTGGAAACGCTGCCCCAACAGCAGCAGCAACAGCAGCAGCAGCAGCAGCAGCAGCATGCGCATGCACCACGTGGCATTTTGCCGCCGCCAATTGTCTCAACAGCCCAGCTGATCAGCGTCTCCACGGCGCCCATGAACAGCGGCGGCAGCAGCAGCAGCATCATCAGCAGCAGCAGCCTCAGCGGCAACATGAGCAGCAGCCTCAGCTGCGGAATGGGCAGCAGCCAAGCTGCAATGGCAGCAGCAGCAGCAGCCGCTGCAGCGGCGGCAGCTGCCAGCAGCTCCGAGGCATACCATCCACAGGTGAAGAATTTATTTGGCAATGACATTAGCTTAAAGTTGGCGCATAAGTTGCCAACAAAAAAAAAACAGTAGAAGAGAGTTAACAGCAAAACTAAAAGCTTTTGACAGCTTTAATGTGCTTTCTAAAAAGCTCAGATATCAGCACAAGTATAGAATATAAAGCTATATAGAGAACATATAGCTAGCGAAAGCAGACTCTTAGCAAAGCTAAAAGCTGATGTCATAAATAATCAATTTGAAGACTTTTTGCAGCTTTAATGTGCTTTCTTAAAAGCTCAGATATCAGCAAAAGTGTAGAAAATTCAGCTATAGCTAGTAGGGTTCAGTTTGCAGTCGAAGACGACTCATAGCACTATAAAGCTGTAAGCTTTTGATTAAAATATTCATATTCATTCATTTGGATAGCTTTAATGTGCTAAGAAGAAGTATAGGCAGCTAGTATGTACAGCTTGAGCCCGAAGAAGACTTAGCACAGCAATGCCTTGAAAATTCTTGTGCTTTCAAGCCCAAATCCCAAGAAAACTGTAGATATTGAAGGGAGTCTTTCACTTACAGTTTGTAAGTCATTGACTTGGCTATACAGTTTTAAAGTCAGTCTGTTTAGCTAAAAAAAAAAATAATATTGTAGCTGTTCTTATTACCCTGAAAAGATCTCTTCTTGATACGTTCAAAAATTGCTTAGTAACAGTTTGCAAGTCACTTGGCTTGATTGTACAGTTTGAGAGTCCACACTCATAATCAAAAAGGTCGCCCTTTTCAGCTGTTTCTCAGCTGTTTTTCCAGCTAAGATTAGAGTTGGGTTGCTTTTCATAGTTGGGAACCGCAGAAATAATTTGCACTCTTGTTCTTATATATTTTTTGGCACAGTTTGAGCGCCATTGTAAGCCGATGTCATTGCACACAAATGTTAAACTGTATTTAATCAAGTTTTTTTTGCTCGCACAAACACAGGTGGAGGCCATTTCACCCACTTTGCCCAGCGACAATGCCGAGGAGCGTGCACGCAGCAGCGGCAGCAGCAACAACAACAACAACAACAACAACAACAACAACAACAACAACAACAACAACAACAACAACAACAACGCTAACAGCAGCAGCAGCATCAGCAGCAGCAGCAGCAACAACAACAGCAGCAACATCGCCAAGGAGGAGCTATTGATGCAGATTCAACGTGTGGACAATGAGATCAAGTGCGCCGAAACGGCAATGGAAGCGTTGCGCAGAAAGGAGAAGGCGCTGCTGGAGGAGGCGGCGGCAACAGCTGCCGCTATCAAGCAGCAGCAGACAGCCGTTGCCGAGAGCAGCACCAGCTTCAGCGGCGCCAGCTGCAGCAGCGGCACGAGCAGCAGCAACGGCAATGAGATTATAGAGCTGGCGTGGCGTACACAGATGCTGGCGCAGGGCATCTATGAGGCGAACCGTAGGACGGCCGCCGAACAACATTCCCAGGTCGAGGAGGCGGGCGGCGGTGAGGAACGGGCACGCCCCTGGCTGCCGTTATATAACCAACCGCTGGATGTGGAGGCATTGACGCATCTAATCAAACGCCATCAGACGCTGATCAAGAATCCCTTGCTGACGCATATACGCAAATTGAAAGCGGAACGCTGGGAGCACAATCAGGGTCTGGTTGAGAAATATACCAAGGATCAGGCCGATTGGCAGCGACGCTGCGAACGGGCCGAGGGCAGTGCCAAGCGCAAGGCGCGCGAGACCAAGAATCGTGAATTCTTCGAGAAGGTGTTCACGGAGCTGCGCAAACAGCGCGAGGACAAGGAGCGCTTCAATCGTGTCGGCTCACGCATCAAATCCGAGGCAGATCTCGAGGAGATCATGGACGGCTTGCAGGAGCAGGCGCTGGAGGACAAAAAGATGCGCTCCTATGCCGTTATACCGCCGCTAATGCACGACGCCCGTCAACGCCGTTGCGCCTATCACAACGAGAACGGACGCATCGAGGATATGGTGGCCGTGCACGAGGAGCGCAAGGCCCTCAATCTGTGGACAGCCGGCGAGAAGGAGACCTTCAAGGAGAAATATCTACAGCATCCGAAGAACTTTGGTGCCATTGCGGCCAGCCTGGACCGCAAATCGCCGCAGGATTGCGTACGCTATTACTACCTCAGCAAAAAGACGGAGAACTACAAGCAGCTGCTACGCAAATCCCGCCAGCGGACACGCAGCAGCCGCAACCCGGCCAAGGCCCAGGCCCAGCAGCCCCAATGCATTATCGATTCCCTTACAACTGGCGTCACGACTCGCCTCCAGCGCGAACAGCAACAGAAATCCGGCAATCGTTCCAGCGCCGTCGCCGAGCGCGAACGTGCCGAACGCGCCGCCGAACGGGAGCGTGTCGCCGAAAAGGCCGCCGCCGATGCGGCCAAAGCGGCCGAGTGTGCCGCCGAGAAGGCGAGCGCCGTCAGTAAGGCCGCCGAGGCGGCTGCCGGCAGCGAGAAGGTGGCCAAGAGTGCAGCTGCAGCAGCAGCAGCAGCTGCCGCCGCCGCAGCAGCTGATAAGTCGGAGGCTGCAAAGGCGACGCATGCGGCAGCAGAGAAGCATGCAACAGCAGCTGCAGCAGCCGCAGCAGCGGCCGCAGCTAAAACGGAGATCTCAACGGGCAGCAGCAGCAGCAGCGATGCCAAAGCCAAAACCGCTGAGGAGCAAGCGGTTGCATCCACGTCGTCCGCTGCAACTGCAACAGCTGCAGCGGCTGCGGCAGCGGCAACAGCTGCTGCCAGCGATGCAGCCGCCGGCGCAGCGGCAGCGCCCAAGGCGTCCAAGTTGCAGCCAGGCGATGCAAAAGCCGCAGCAGCAGCAGCAGCAGCCGCCGCAGAAGCAGCCAAGTCCGAGCGGGAGCAGCCAGCGGAGGCGGATGGGCATCGGGCTGCCAAGAGCAAAGCAAAGGCTGCCGATAGCTACAATGGTAAGCAATCGATAACTTATCGTTGGCATGCACAAAAATATGTATCGAAACCGATATGTATTGGAAAAGATGTGTATTGAAAACGATATATATCGGAGTCGATATGTATTGACAACTATATGAATCTAAATCGATATCTATTGAAATCGATATGTATTGGAGTCAATATGTATTGAAAGAGATGTGTATCGAAATCGAGATGTATCGATTTTTTGTTACATGCTTCTCAGTAATTGCCTCGCGCCTAAGTTTTTTTTTCCTTGTCTCTCACATCTGTAGATTCAAGCTTTGTTATTTGCAAAATCTTCCATTAGAAAATCTTCCATTTGTAATATGAACGTATGAATCTGAGGTGTCGAAATCGATAAACTACATTCTTACATAGGAAATGAATGCAATCCTTTTTGTCGAAAGTCATTCGAAAGTTGCGATGGGCTTTATTTATACGATAACAATTGCAATCATTGAGTTATAACAGTTTGTGCACAAGTTATCGATAATAATTGTAATCGATTAGCTATAACAAGAAAGTTATCGATAACAACTGCAAACGATTGAGTGCAAGTTAATTACGCCAAGTCATTATTACCCATGATCTTCTTTAAAATATCGTTAGACACTCGAGCGATAACGATTCTGTGGTTGTCGATAACATTTGAGGAAACATTCTTATTACTTTGCATTATTTTTGCAGCAACTGGTGCAGCCGGAGTTAGTGCCACGCCCTCAGCTACGCCCGCGGTCAGCGTGGCACTCAACGGCTTCAAGCCCGGCTACCAGAGCGTCGTCATGGCCAACGTCAAGGCGCCAGCGCCAGCAGCTGGCCTTGATGATGCCACAGCCGGAGCTGCAGCAACAACGTCGACAAATGCAACGGGCGATAAAATCGTCAAGGCCTCATCGACTGCAGCTGCAGCTGCGGCTGGCTTCGTTGTGCCCAATGCGGCTGTATCGGAGCCTGTCAGCAATGCAACGCTTACGACGGCCACCACGGCTGGCAACTATTTGGGCCAGAAGTTGAAGGCGGCACAAGTCGAGGGACTCGGTGCCGGCAATGATCTGCACACGGATGTTAGGTAAGTTATCAATGAAAATATCGTTTAGAAGTTATCGATAGGAGCGTTCGATAAGTTGTAATCGTAAAATGGAAAGTTATCGATACAAAAGTGGTAAAGAAATTATCTATTATCATACAAAGGAGAGTTATCGATTAAACAGTTCTTGATTAATCGATGATCAATACAAAAAATGTTTCAAATATCGATACTAAAACCAATTGATGTTGTATCGATACTAAAACCAATCGATAGTGTATCAAAAAAGTTGCATGAAGCAAAAATTCAGTTTAATCGATCAAAAAATCAATCGATAGAAATGTATCGATAATAGATATATTACCCAACTACCCAAGTATCGATAAAATATGTATCACGCAGATGTTTAATTTTTGTATTTCGGTTTACAGCGAGGCCAAGAAGAAACGCTACGAGTTGACGCCTGGCGAGGCGAACAACGCCAGCAGCAACAACAACAACAACAATAGCAACAACAACAACAGCAGCAACAACAACATTAAAGTGACCACCACCAAGGATGCATCGAATCAAGTCTCGTTCATTGACAAGGGCCCCGGCTCACTGCTGACGCCCGCCTCATCCATATCGTTGCTCTACAACAGCGCCATGTCCACAACGGCCGCGGTGGCTGCGATGGCAACAGGCGCAGGAGCAGGCACAAGGCCAACGACGGCATTGACTCCGACCATGGTGACAGATCGGGCTGGCAATTTGCTGAGCACATCCGAGGTTCTGGCATTGGATGGCAAAGGTAAGTGCTGCAAGTTTATTTTTATATTCCACCTCTCTCTATACATCCAAGCCTTGAACTCGTCAAAAGCGTTGAAAGCTTCCGAAATTTTCCACGCCCAGCAAGTCCTCTTGCTCTCTCTCTCTCCATGTCTCTCCCCTCGGCAATGCTTTGCCCTTTTAGCTGCTCAAAGTCGGGCAAGTTTCTCACATTTCATAAAAGCTCGTTTGCAAAGCTTTGACATTTAAGCAGCTAAATTCCCCTATTCCCAGAAAGCTGTCTCTGCGAGGACTTGGCGGCGCCTTTGTGCTTTGCTCTTTTCCCTCAAAACCAGGCGCAGCTTTCTGGGCAATGACTTTTGGCAAGCTTTTGAATAAGCTTTTGTTGGCCTTCTAGCCTTAAGGCTCTGCATTGCTCTAGCTTGAGCTTTAAACGTGCGTCACCATGCTCAAAGCTAGCTTTTGCTATTTTTAGCAAAGCTTTTAAGCTCGTGTAAGAGCTTTTACCTGCTTTTGCTGAGCTTTTTCAGCTTTTGCTGAGCTTTTAACGTTCAACTGCATTTGGAAGAACTTACGTGTCCTTTGTGCTTATCAAAAATGCATTTGCGCCTTCACAATTGCAGTTTTTCGCTTTGTTTGGCATCTGTTTATTAAGTGTTCGTCCCTCCTGCCCAACTACCCCTGCCCCCAGCCCTGATACTCTTTATCCCCACGCCTGTGACTGTTTGACGTCCGCCCTCCTGATAACCCTGTCCCCTATGCATATTTGATTCTCCGCATTTGCCTCAAGTCATGCTTTTGAGCTTGGAATGTGCGCAGCATTTGCAGCCTTTGCTGTGTGGCTGCCACATTGGATGCTTGATTGAGAGTGCGTGCCACGTTTTCGCGTGCCCCGTGTGGGTCGTTCTGGTTGTTTGTGCAGCCTCTGTCGCATCTCCATTCCGGCCGTCTGTCCATTTGTCGTCTGTCATTCTTGTCTGTCATTCAGCTCAGCTCAGCTTGTGCTGCAGTGCGCTTTTCTCTCGCTCTCTTTCACTTTCTTTTCCTCTCTCTCTCTCTCTCCCCTTTGCCGGCCGGCCCCCGTTTTGCTGTCATCTCCCTGGCGAGTTAATTAAACGCAATTAAATTAAAATTTTTGTAAACGTCTTTTTTATTATGCAAGTGATTTAATTTAATTATTAAATTGCCGCAACGTTTGTTTGCATTAACCGTCGCCATCTTTTGCCACAAACGAGAGCAAGCTCTGTGGCGCCCCAGTTGTCGGCGCTGAAAAACGGGGGGGCGGGGCAGATGAGTGTATACCCCTGCCTTTCGTCCCACCCCCTCTCCCAGCTTTTGGCGCATCAATTTTCTGATTAATCCTGGTTTACTCGCGGTATTTAATGATTCTTTGCAACAGTCGATAAGCGTTATCGATAACTGCTATCGATAGGCATTGTTTAGTTGCGATTAGCTGTTATTTTGCGTTTATCGATAAGAAACACATTTTCCAATAAGCAATTGTTGCGTTTGGCCTTAGCTAATCTATCGATAACAAACTATAATTAATTAGTAATAATTTATCGATAACAGCCGTTGTTAAAATTAGAGAGCTTGCACCCTCATTTCATGTCTTGTAGTTTGAGCAATTGAAAAATATTCTCCACAAAAAAAATATCGATAGCACACATAACGATAACAGTGTTGAATCAGGCCAATGTCTTAATTTATCGATTTAACAATGAGAACAGTTGCTTAATTTTGTGCGTCCATTTTGAGTATCTGAATTTGATCACCAAAACTGAAAGATTAAACATTTATCGATAACAATATATATAATATATGTGTGTAATCTTAAACGATAGAAATTGCTTGGCTTTTTTAATTGGTCGATGTCATTTGTCGATAAAAAAAATACGTAATTTCAAATATGTATATTTTTGACACTTTTCAAATTAATCGATGTGATTTATCGATAACAGAATGTAAAATTTAAAGTCGCATATTTCAGACACATTTTTAGCTTTATCGATGCCATTATCGATATAATAATATATCATTCAAATAAACATGTTGTTGACCCTTCAAAATGTATCGATAGCAACTATCGATAAACAAGTATTTATTTATTTATTTATTTTTAAATGAAATTCACATGCTTTTGCTTTGATTTTGGTTTTACAATTAACTTTTATTTATGCAAACTTTAGAGCGCTTCACAAAAAAAAAGGTTGTGCTTTGGTGTGTGTCTGTGTGCGTGTGTGTGCGTGCATTTAATTGCGTGCTTAATTCGATAATTAATCGATTAGTTGTTTTCGTTTTGTTTTGTTTTGTTGCATTAGTTTAGGGCGCTGCCTCCAAGGCATCCGTTGCAGTTGTTGCCTCACGCTTTGCGGCGCTGCTGTTGCTATTGCCGCCGCTGCTGCTGCTAGTCGAACTGTTATTGTTGTTGTTGTTGCTGCTGTTGTCCAGCTCATCGGCATGGCAGAGCTTGCGATGCTTGTGCACAAAATAGTAGCTGGGAAACTTGCTGCCGCACGTCTTGCAAGGATAATATTGCACATTCATGTCCAGCGGACGCACCTCGCGTCGCAGCAAGGCTGCCGCCGACAATGTGGCATCTGCGCCCGCAGCAACTGTTGCCGCTGCAGCTGCTGTTGTTGCTGCTGCTGCTGTTGCTGTTGTTGCTGCTGCTGCTGTTGTTGTTGCAGCTGTTGTTGTTGGTAGGCCCAGAAATTCGCGGCTGCTGCTGCTGCTAAGCTCCGGTGTTGTCGCCGCCAACTTCTTGTCCAAGCTGAGCGGATTGAGATGCCGCTTGGCGTGCTTCTGATAGCAATACTGCGATTTGAACGTGTGTTTGCAGTAAACGCACACGAACAGCTCCGCATGCGTTTGCTTGCGATGTGTTGCTGCTGTTGCAGATGTTGCTGCTGCTGCGCCAGTTGTTGTTGCTGCTGTTGCAGTTGTTGCTGCTGCTGCTGGTGCTGCTGCCGCATCGCCGCTGTTCTCGTTCGCCTCCTGCTGCTGCTGCCGCTGCTGGCTGCTGATGGCCCGCGCCATTTGCTGGTGAAACGAATAGCTGACGCTCTGCTGTGTGCGCTGCTCGCCGCCGCCGCCAGCTGCCTCAAGGCAGCTGTTGTCCGGCTTATGGCCGTACGCCGTGTTGAGTATGCGGCGAAAGCGCACGGGTCCATCGCAGCTGGCCACATCGATGATGAATTTGGTGGCCGGTGTTGCCGTCTCCAGTTGCACGCTCGGCAGCGGCGTCTTGGCCAGCTGCAGTCCACGATTGTTGCCGCTGCCGCTGTTGCTGTTGCTGTTGTTGCTGCTGCTGTTGTTGTTGTTGTTGCTGCCGCGTTTGGTTGAGCTTTTGCGTGCGCTGTTGCCGCCGCGTCGCAGCTTGTTGGCAACAGTTGCTGCTGCCGCTGCTGGCGGCGCTGGCGGTGGCGGCGGCGGCGTCGCTTGCTTTTTGCTATCCACACGCTCAATGTTCAGGCTGCTGGCGGCGCTGCTGCTCGCCAGACTGCTTACGACGGACACATTGCAATCCTCCGTGTCGAGCTCATTGTCGCTGGCCGTGTTGCTGTCGATAAACACCTCCACATCCTCCTCCTCCTCCGCCACTGTGTCCTCTATCTTCTTCTCCTTCTCCTTCTCCAGCTGCTGTTGCTGCTGTTCCGACTCTGTCAATTGCAGTTGCTCAGCTGCTGCCACCGGCTGTTGCATGTAGGCTGCAGCAGCAATTGTTGGCGGCGGCGGTGCTGGCAGAAAGCCAAAATTGGGCAATGTCGCTTTGCTTGGTATGGGTCTGATGATCTTGGAGCCGGCGCCACTGGCGGCCAGCTGCAACTGGTGCGGATTGGCTGGACTGCCGCTCAGATAGCCCTCGGTTTGGGCGCGCGCCAGAAACGCGCTGCGAGTAAACGTCAGAAAGCGAAACACAAAAATAAAACTTCAACTTGCAACACACGCAATAAAAAAAAACATAAAAAAAAAAACAACTGCTGCCTACCGACAAATCTCCAGGGCGCGCGGCATATGCAGCACATGCGTCGCCAGCAACACGGCAAATATGTTGTCCACATTCAGATCCAAGTAGCCGGTGTACATGTATGTCAAAAGCGGCGCGAACTGCTCCGCCGTCACATTGCCCAGATACAGCAGCAATTCACCGCCAGCAGCAGCGGCAGCAGCAGCAGCAGCAGCCGCAGCAGCAGCAGCAACAGTTGCTGTTGCTGTTGGTGTTGCTGCTGCCGCTGCCGCTGCGGCTGCAACTGTTGCCTCATCCATGCGTATGGCCGAGCGCAAATAGCCGCTGTGCATGCCCAGCACCAGAGCGTGGGCCACAAAGCGCACGCTGCTCGGCGCTGGACCCACCTCGAGTATAACATCCGGCGGCGTGGACATGACGCCGCCAACGCCGCCAACGCCAAGCGGCATGTTGCTGCAGCTTGTGGCAGCGGCATTCGGCAGGCGGCTGTTGGCGCTGCCGTTGCTGCCGTTGCTGCCGCTGCTGCCGGTTAGCCAATTGGTAAACATTTCCAAAAACAATCCAAAAAAAATAGAAAAATATACAAGACAACAAACAACGCGAAGACGCGACACGCGAGTCGTGTGGCAAGTGGCAAGAGCAGCTGCTGCCAACCGTCACGTGTGCAACTCAAATTCGAACTGATGACCGCCTCGTGGCGCCTGCCGCGTTTTATAGCCAACACACAGCGCACGAGACAGCAGCCAGTCACACACCAACACACACACGCACACCAAGAGTCCTGTCAGCTGTGTGAGTCCTTCGGCTGCTGCTGCTGCTGCTGCCTCGGCTCTGTCTCTCAGCGTCGGCTGTTGTCGAGATTATGCTGCCTGTTTAATTGGTTCTTGTTCTTGTTGTTGTTGCTGTGGCAGCATATTTTGCACATTTTAAGCCAAATTAACACGCGACTTCACAAAACTTATTGCCTTTATATAAAAGTTAGCCAATTGGTAAAATATAAATTAAACATTTCAAATATATTTTTAAAAAAATGTGTTGCCTACTTTTGAGCGTTTCGATTTTAGTCAAAAGAAACTTATACAAATTTGCAAAAAATAAATTTTTAAATAATTACAAAAATTAAAAAAAGAAGAAAAAAGAAATAACACTTTCGCCATAAATTCGCCAGTTTGGGTTTTTCGAAAAGTGTTGCCTACTTTCAGGCAAACTATTTGAAATGCACAAATTGCGGCCATAAATAAAAGAAGAAAAAGAAGAGTTACAACTTCTTTTGAAATATAATAAAAAATAACCAATAATTGAATTGGGAATAAGCTAAATAATAAAAACTCTTTCGCCAACAAATCGCCAACTTAATTGAGGATTTATAGTAAACGCTTGAGTTGGAACTAAATCTTCATTTAACTTTGCCTAATATATATTTCTTTTTTTTTTATATTTGTACTCTTGTCGTTTGGCAATTTCTTCAATTTTCCCATGTAATTATTTTGTGTTGAAAAAGAAGAGAAAACACATTTTGTGCAAATTTGTGTAAACCGACCGCGACTTTTACTTTGAGTTCAGCTTCCGTCGGCAGTGTTGCCAATTTTTGGGAGCTGCTCCAAAATCCGTTTGCCTTTTGGCTTTGCGTCAATTCAACATGCCCCCCGTCCTGCCTGCTCTCCATGCAGCTACCCTGCCCACCTTCCTTTCGCTGCCCTTGTCCGTGTGCATGGCTCAAAAAGCGGCTCCTCAATCGACTTAATTGATTTGTGAGCATAACCAACACATATTTACATACGACTCGGCCGCATGTGTGTGTGTGCGTGTGCCAGTGTGTGTGTGTGTGTTGATTTTGTGTGTGTGTGTGTGTGTGTGTGTGTGTGTGGCTACTTTATCTACCTGGCTATTAGCTCACTATTTGAAGCTACTCTCACGGAGAAATAAAGTCCTTTGCCTGCGATAAAAATCCTTTTTTCATAAATTTAACAAATATTAATTGATAGCAAATTATATTTAGTCTAATTTTCCTTGAGCGCTTCCGGTTCCGCTTGAGTTTCCATGCGATTTGAACTAGTTCACAGTTCACAACCTGAGTTGTCTCTAGGCAATATTCGGGTTCGAGTCCACGACCAATTGATTGGCCCAAAAATATATTGTAGGTTAGGTTGAGAGTTAGTAACTTTTTACTATATTCAAGAAACAGCTTTTATTGTGCTATCGCTTTTCTATCGCTTTCTTATCCGCCTGCATCATTTGCATCAATTGAACCGAAGCGCTTTGAGGGTAGAATTCCAGCTTCTTCTTGCTCGCCAAGCTATCGCCAAACTATCGGCAAGCTATTGCCAAGCTATCGCCAAACTATCGCCCAACTATCTGCCTGGCTGATAATGCTGCTTTTGCCTCTGTAAAGGGCATACGCTAGTCGCTAGAACTCTATTCGTTTATTGTCGCTTCTTCTACTAATTTACCCAACATTTTACTTTGCACTTTTTTCTACTACTTTTTTCTTCTTTTTGTGGCAATGTGGGACGTGTGTGTGTTGTGTGTGTGTGTGTGTGTGTGTGCGTGTGGTTTGGTTTTATTTGTGTGGCTTTGGTATTTGGACATTTGGTTGGCTTTTAATTACCGCTGTTGCTATCTCTGGCCCTGGCCCTCTCCCCGCTGCTCCCTCCCCTGCTGCTGATCGGTTTTATTTGTTGAATGGCCCCACCTTCGATCCACCTGAAAACCTGCAGCCTTTACTTTTATTTGACGTGCGACAAATTTGTCAAAAAATGTTTGACATTTGCTTGCTGCGCAAGATGGGGCGGGACTTGTTTAAGGGATGCGGGGGACTAGGGGCTGGTTACACGGCCGAAAGGGAGATGCATTTTTATAGATATGGTCAATCGGTTAGTTTGCCGACCTGTTTGTTGTTGTTGTATTGTTGTTGTTGTGTTGTTGTATTGATAGGCTAATTAAATTAAGTTGTTGTTGCTGTTGCAAGCTGAATCTGTCCGTTGCGATTAAGCTTCAATCAAGCGTTAACAATTTTAATTAAATTATTTCGAAATGTAATTATAAATGTTCGTCATGCATAAATTGTGTTATTCATTTATTTAGCAATAACTGGACACGCCCCCCCTCCAGCACCAGCCCCAGCCCCAGCTGCCGTCATCAACCCTTTTTTGTTGTTTTTTCCTGCTTCTTTTTTTTTTCGACCACTTTGCCAGCTGCTGCTCTCGATTGTTGCTGCATTTTGAATAAATAATCACAACGTAGGCAAAAAATGAATTTCATAAATTGCCAGCAAACAGGAGAAACAAAAGCTGGCAACAAACACGCCGCTGACTGACTGCGAGATACCCTGTAACGAGCTGTCGCCAAATATTCATGCACAAAACGAATTTCATACTTTCTGTGCTTCTTCTTATACATTAAGTCATTGCATACTTCTTCTTCTTCTCCTATAGAACCCTCTTTGGGAAATGTGTTCCCGTTTAACTTGGGTATTTTCCGTTCGATCTTTATGAAACTTTCAGAGCTTGAATATAGCATATTCATCTATGTGCATACCAAAGCCCAAAAATATAGCTTCATTATTCTTCGAGCTTATGGCCGAGCATTGAGTTCAGGTTGCCAGAAAGTTGAATATGCCAAAAAATTTCAAATGAGGTTGTACTTTTTCTTCAAAACTCGTAGATATTGCTAAATCAGAATAAAAACCAGCTGTGAAATCGATATTTATCGATATGTTGTGGCAACGAGAAGCTTTGTTTGAAATTAATTTAACCATTTTAAGCCTCAAGCTCTTATGGTATCTGAGCTACGAGTTGGCTTCATCAACTTGGCTTTTGCTGCTGCTGGCCAAGAATATATATGCTTAATGTGCTGCTGTCTCTTTTTTTTATATCCATTTTCCATGGTTTCAGCGTATAAAACAAAAAAAAACAAGTTAATCACATACATGCAAGTCCTGTCAGGACTTGGTTGCCCACGTCCTGCTGCTGCTGCTGCTCTTGCTCTTGTTGTTGTCGTCATCGTCAATCTGTCACATTTGTTAAATGCTACAATTAATCCCCCAAGCGCGTCTGCCCAGCTCTTTCGCTCCGCCTTTGTTGTGTTATCCTGCGTTCCGCGTCCTGCTCATTTTGCCCTCTAATAATAACTCACCTTTGAGCTTCGCGCACATACATGCATATTTCGCATAGCATAATGTGACATAACATGGCACATTTAACTTAAAATCTGTAATTGTTCTTCAAATAACAGTTATCGATAAGTTATCGATAATTTGTCGAGAATATGCCTCTGATATCAAATAGTTCAGCTCATTGAAGCACAATCTTAAATCTCAAAGACGCTCAACGCTCGATAACACAACTTATCGCTTGTTTGATTTATCGATTTTTGTGCTTTATCAACTGATTAATTTATTATTATTAATTATATTGAAAACTTGACAGGCTCACCACAAATTCAGGCAGGCTTTGCAGATTTTTTTCACACTAGTTTGCTTAGTTTTCGATTTGTTCTCTGTGCTCGATACTTATCGATTTATCATTAGGCTGCAGCCAACCCTGTTCTAGAATGTTTTAAAATTTATCGATAAATATCGATTTAGCACAATTTATCTGCTGCACTTTTATACATTTGTATCCATAAATATCGATTAACTATCGGTTATCGATTAAGCTCCCGCATTAAGCCCATCTATGCAGCCACTCGATTGTTCTCGTACTATTTACCAGATGTTTGTGTGCACTTGCTCCACGGTGCGACAGTGGAATGAAAAGGACAAGAAGAAGAAGAAGAAGAAGAAGAAGAGGAGCTACTGCTGCAGTAACAGCCATCAACTGCTGCTGCAATTCAATTCAATTAACGCGACGGTTAAAAGCTCTGCGCAATTAGCTTTTCTCTCTCGTTAGCCTTCTCTCGCTTCCGCTGCGCTCCCCCTTCTGTCGGAGTCTGACAAAGGGGTCGGGGTTTAAAACATTTTTGCTGATCTTTGCAGTAAGCTAGCAAATTGCCTGCCAACCAATCGAGCAACTGCAACGGACGCACACACACACACACACGCACACGCACACACACATGTACACAGCCTGTCAACTGTTGACTTTTGTCTTACACACATGCACACACACATGCACACACACATGCGTACACACATTGACCGTAAAACTGCTGCTGAGCCTTTTGGTCATGTTGACAAGCAAACCGCCCGCTCGCTACCTGCTGCTGCCTACCCCCCCCCCCCCCCCCCCCCCCCTCCGCGTTCCCCTCTCCAGCTGCATTTCCCTCACGTCTCTCGCCCCTCTACAAATCCATCTACGCCCCTGCCCTTGTGCAATTTTCGCTTGTGTTGTCGCTTTTAGCTGTAGCTTATCCCAGTTGGATTTTATTGTTTGTACACAGTTGCCAAGTGGACGCAGGCGGGAATCAGCATGTGCAGGGGGAGTGGCAGTGGTGGGGTGGGGGGTGATTG